CTGTTACAGATGCGAACTGTGCCAGGTCTCAAACAGAGCCCTGCAGTGCGTTGACGCGTGCTGGAGAATCCTGAAACAGTGTGTTCCAAAAAAGTCTGCATTCTAAGAATGTAGACCGGGAGCTCAATCCCAAGATCCTTGACTACATCCTTAGTTTCGAGTTTCCCTGTAACAACGGTCACGACCTGTGGTCTGCCTTGGAGCTTTGGCACAGGAAGCAAGCAAGTGCACAAAAAGAGTGTCGAAGACTTGCATAAAGCCCTGAAGCTGGTAACAAGAAGAAGAAGAACAAAAGCAAAAGCAACAACAAGAACCGTAAAATATGAAGGAAACAGCATGAACAAGTTTTCACCTGGAGGTGCTTGAACAGTGTGTTGCAAAATGCCACGCCTGCCAGTCTTTTGTGCACATTGGACTTCGGAGTCCTGGCAAAAGCGGCACTTTTGACTACGTAGTGGCTCCAAAAACTTCTAAACAGCAAACGCACAAAAAGCACCGAAACAACGCGCATTTCCGCAAACGCGGTGCCAACCCTAATTGCAGTCGCCGCGCGGTCGCGGTTGACGCCGCAACCAAGTTCAAGCTGGCTTCCAGCGGTGGGGAACCTTGACAATTTAACTTCAAACTCATCTGGAGCAATGCCGAAGCAATCTCCACAGCCTGGCAAACAGGGAGCGTGTCTGGGCACCTGGTGCAAGCAGGCCGCAAACAAACCGCAAGTGTCGCAAATTTGACGTGTCACAGTGCACACTGGTCCCACAAGTTCGCACATGAGTGAGCTCTGAAAAAACGGATCGGCATCTGCGCAGGACTTCCTGGAGACAATTCAGCGGCTACAGCTCCTCTATGTCGCAACCCCTATGCACAGAGACTGCGACAATCAGTCCCAACCATTGCTGAAGGTTGGCGATGAGCCCAAGTTTGAAGCGCTGGAACCCTGGGCAAGCCCGTCAAGTCGAATTTGACTGGAAATGGCAAAGCATCTGAACAGCTGAAGGATGTCTTTAAGTGTCATGACGGGCAGGTACAGGAGGCCAACCGCCAGCTGGACTTGGTGCACAAAGTCGGCAAGGATTTCGAGGCTCAGCAGGGGCCCGCTGAAGCCTGGTGGTGTCCACACAGCTGAGTGCAGGATGTGATGGAATACGTCAGAGACTCGAACATGGAGGTGTACACGACCCTCGTCGGCAATTCAATAGGCATGAGAAACTCGTTCGTCGATTTGGTGGATCACAGGATTGGCTTTGCCGACAGCATCGAATGGAGCGAAGATGCAGCAGCCTCACCTCTCGCACTGCTCTCATCGGGAGGGTTTGCTTGCGACTCGCGTGCACAGCTGCAGGACCTGGGAGACCGCAAGACTGTCGAAAAGCAGCCGCAAGATTCGCGGACCATCGAGTACACCGACAAGCATCAGGCCAGGCCGCGACTACAGCAAGGTGAGCAGACGTAGTGGAGTAACGCATCTTCTGAGACGTCTCTGCCAGGCCAGCGGTGTTGTGGTCCGGCTGTCCCAGTCGAGTATGGCTCTGATCGATGGCAAGGCTCCAGCACGTTTGAGGAGGAGGAGGAGGCGGAACGTGACTCTTGCAGGTGGTGAACTTCGATTTTTACATCAAGTCTGTTTGTAAAACGGGCGAAGAGGATGAGAACGAGGCTTGGAGCACCTGGGCCTGGGTGAAGTTGCAAACGACCGCTCTTTTTCGGGCTGCTGAGCACTCCTTGGGCATTCGGAGGTTGTTCGTGTTGATTGTTGTTCATTCGGTAGCTTGGGCAGGGAGAGGATGCTTTGCTGGCACCCATCTACGTGGGCGCCATTTCCTCCAAGTATGTGGGCGAGGAACGGTGTCCTGTTGCATCTGTTGCGTGGTCATGCTGTTTGCCTGGTGGAACGTCAGCCTGAGCTGCACCCACAATTTCCAGGATAACCGGCTCACCGGTGACAGACGTGCCCAAGCTGCTGAGGCTTGTCATGCACACTTGGGGCCAAGCCGAGTGCACGCATCCCTTCAGGGGTTCTTCGGCTGCGATGAGTTTGGTCACCTCTACATCAGCGACACCGCTGCAGCTAAGATGGCGTGAGTCCTGGATATCGACTTTCGATTTCAGGTGGGCATCGTATAGAAGACAAGTTCGGCGGTTTCAAGCAGGGGCCCCATCTCGAGACAGTGTCGAAGTCTGCGGCACTTGCATCTATTCTGTGTTCAGGAAGGGTAGCACTGTCGGTGTGGAGATCGACTACTCCGACGAGGAGTGATCAGAAGAATTCTGCAAGATCTTGATGCAAAACTCTGGCATGCGCAGGCTAAACGAGCGATGTTCATCGTTGTCGATGGGTCTGAGCTTGAGCGACAGGTGTAAGAGTCGATTCGTGCAGACTTGCGGACTGCCTTGCGGGGCCCAGGTTTAGAGTGGGAGCGATTCGAAGAGAAGTTGATGCCGATGTCCCAGAGACCTCTGCGACAGCTGCTTCATGCTGCTTCGGTTGCTCATTCAGGAGGGAATGGTACCATGCATCATTTTGAACGGCATGGGGCAGGCCTCGACGACAGCAGCACTGCCACAAGCTAGTGCCAGTAGAAACCTCTCGAAGGTAGTTCGAGTCAATGTCGGGCGACCACGACGTGGAAAGGGTCTTCTTGTCAAGCGGGAGGCACAACTGCTGTCGATTGTGGACTCTCGTATGAGTACGGACAGTTGCTTCTCATGCTTAGCGACACCGACGGTCTAGGTTCGAACGTTACAAACTCTTTCTGAATGAACGAAAGCACAACCGAACACTTCCTCCAACAGATAGCTGGGCAGCAGTAGGAACTCGGAACGGTCTGGCTGCCCACGTGCGTTGCGGTCCCGCCTCGTGTCTCCAAGCGACCTCCTCGCAACTGATCTCCTGGGACTGCTCTGCCTCTCTGCTTACAGGACACTATCCAGGAGGAGTGGCAGTCACTGTACAAAGACCACGCTGAGCCAGCGCTGGGCCCAGTCACATCATTGTCGTGAGGTAGCAGTGGGCAGTGGGATTCCCGTAACAGCACATCTTCAAGGACACCACTGTGCTGCACCTGGTGTACCAAGTTGGCAAGGAGCCAGTGCAGTCTGCTTTCAGCAGTTTCCTGCAAACATGTCGCACAAAGTAAAGCGGATTTTCCCAACGACGGTTTTTCGACTTTGATCATCCGATCGCACTGGATGCTTCAACGTTGGAAGAATCCAGGCAGGTGACCCCGACAATTACACAGGTCCATCTTTTTCAATGATGGCACGACATGCTTGCTCTGTGTCCTTGAGCAGCACCTGGATCCGTCGGCGGGAGTTAATTTGGATTGTCCATGCTCATACTTCGTTTTACCTCTTGGTGCAGCTCAAACACCGGCGACATGAAAGGAGGACACTGTGCTGCTTAGTGGATATTACTTGAGTCCGGCGTAATGTTGTGCATATTTTGAAGAATGCCCTCGCGTGCGAGCATCCAGGGCGGACAGTCAGCACAGCGCAAAGGGGCGGACACACAACTGCATGTTGCTCGTCAAGGACCTCGGAATGCGCCCGGAACACTCCTTGCAGCAGGAAGGTATTACACAGAGGTCACACAGACACTGCAAGCGCTTTAGTCACCGCGACCTGCAGACATCCCAACAAGTGTACGTTGTGGGGTCTGTGAGTCGGCTGTGCATCGCTTTACATGTTCTGAAGTCGATTTCGTGGCTGCAGTCTTGAAGGACCAGTGGTTCACCCGAGTGAAGTCCGACGAAGCTGGCAAGGCCTTCAAGGAAGATTGCATCTACGAAGGAAGGGAGCTTAGCTTTTCCTGACGATTGGCGAGAGCACTTTCTGCATGCGTGCAGAGTAACGAAGGTTGGAACTCGGCCTTCGCTGTGCAGTTGAAGGCCAGGTTTCAAGATGGTGACTAAGCATCCAAACTGGAGCTTGCAGGACGAGCAACTCGCCAAACTCGAGAAAATCAAAGCCTTCTCAAGGCACTTTCAGGTTGATTCTCGCCATAGCCCAAGAAGGCAAGCGTGATCTGTCGTCAGAGTGTCGGCTTCTGTAGAAGATTGGCCTGACAGCCATGACAGCCCAGGCCGCGTTAGCATTTGGTGCATCAACGCAGATGTCCCGGAACGCATCTGCTTCGTGCATCCCCGGTGAATTCGAGCCATGCTTGTGGAAATGGATCACGCAAGCATAAGGTCACTCTGACTGGCATGTTCATTGACTCCGCCCAGATCTGGTGTGCCTCTCAGCGCTGGCAAAACCTTACGCATTCGGCCGATATCTGCGCAACTCAGGCGGAGCCACCACCTCGCACAACAGAAGGCAGGTCAACTCAGGTTTGACATCAGTGACGAACTTGTAGCTTCTTCAATTGATCATGAAGAGTGAGCCTGGAAGTGGTTGATGGTCGTCTCATGAGGGAAACACTGTTGCAGCAGGCCTGGATGTCGTTCTACACGGACAAGACGGGTCCGCACTATCGTAAGGTGGCATCAGTTCATGCCTCAGATCTTGCAGACTGGACAGGCCAAGTCTAGTATTGTTGCCGGTATTGCCAGTACAGAGGTATGCACAAGCGCTGGAGCTGAGGACTGGAAAGAGGCACCTCGTGACGAAAACAACGACGAAGAGACGCAGCAGGCCGGACAGACTCAAGCCTATGAAGCACACGTCATGTGAGATGAAGTCGACGATTTCGTGCGCATTGTGAATATGCTTACACGCAAGATGATATTGGTTTGCATTGTCACTGTGAAGGTAAGACTCGATGCATAGCTCTCGCAACTGCGGCTATCACGGACTACCATACGCAAAGATACAAGTAAGGTGGACGTACACAAGTATGCATGCTTGTCTGCCGGGCTGTCTGCCTGCCTGCATGCATAGATGCATACGTACATTGGTACATGCAGACCTACATACATACAAGCCGGCCGACAGACAGATCTATGACATGGGTGATGCTGTCCTCTACCCCTTTGTTCCGATACTAAATGACAAAAGCACTTAGACGTGATGCTTTTGCCAATGTCAGGAACACTCGAAGCTTGAGTATAGGTGGCAGCAATCGCTACTGCTATTGTTTTCTGCCTTGCCTGTGTGTAGGGAGCAGTGCAGCCCCATGTATTCCCATTTGGATCCCGTAGTCAGACAACTGTCGACAAAGGTTCACACTGGAGTGTGGTCAGGGGGAGCGCATGAAGCAGTCTTTTGGGAATCCCAGCGCAGGTCATCACTGAGCTTGATGCAAAGTTCTGCCATGGCGCCTTCAAGCTAGGAACTCACGTTCTGAAACTTGGAAGCTCGTTGCTTCTTGAGGGGAGTTGGCTCAGGCTCTTCATCTCCTTCAACGCGGAAGATCCTCAAAACTTCTCGCCAGAGTATGATCGAGCGATCACCATCAGGTCGAGCCTCCGCCAATCTGACATAAGATGGCATTCGAGATCCGAGCTTGCCGAGCTGTTCAGGCTGAAGCTGACACCCCATCTGCCACTGCTAGGCAGGCATCGAGGGACAGGCATGCCATGGTTTTGACTGCGGCGAAACTCAGGTCCCAAGAACCAGCTCATAAAGCTCTTCCGACACTTTGGAGCCGCAACCCTCAGACCTCGAGACATACCGGCCAGCATAGAAGACTCAACTTGTGGAGACTTTATTCCCACGGTTCGCAAGGCTGTGGCTGAGCAAGGGGACGGGCATTTGATTCACTACAAGAAGGTGCCCGCTTGCAAGCAGCCTTCACAAAAGCGTCCAGTCGTGAAGCATCAAGCATAAGAAGCGGCGCTTCGGAATTTGGAAGGTGGAGCTGGTGGCCCTTCGGGTTCTACAGCTACTGAAAGCCTCGGACCGGCTTCGAAACAGCCTACTCTACGACTCAAACGCTGAGGAGGCGAGCAACAGCAGCTTGCCGGTATCATCGACACGCTGTGCTTTGCGTTGCTTAGGATTCGGCTGCCTACACAGCGTTCCACGCGACTGCTCCCGCCTAATGGGCCTTGCACGATCTGGTCTTGTGTCAGGAAATGATATCCATCGCCACGTCACATGCACGACTAGGTCGAGTTCTTGAAGTCCTTCTGCGAGTGCGAGCCGCACTATCGCGGCCTCTTCGTCAAGAAAGAAGTCAGCACCACAGTCTGGAATTGCCAGGAATGCCTGTGCCTACCGGATGCCAGTCTACGAGATCCACTTATACCGGCGCAGCCTGCATGGGATAGACTGAGGTGTTCGAGTTCTTGGTGTCCTGCATTGCGCTGGCGGAGCAAGTCCCGGTTTCGCAGATGCTCGTGTGTGGAGCTCAATAAACGAAACGGACCATCATGTACCAGTGTTTTGTGTCCACATGCGCACGTTGGACCGAAAGCCTGTTCGCAAAGTTACGATTTGGCGAAAGAGGGTTATCAAGTGATAGACGAAAAGGCCACACGCCATGTCACGTGTGCACGTGCCAGGCTGCCCCGTGCGACATAAATTCTGGAACTGCTACATCAGGTCTGTCTTCGCCAACAGCGACATGCGAATCAACATGCAGTTTGTGGAAAAGCTGATCCAGGAACGTCGCATTGAAGTTTAACCGGTGTGCACCGCGACCTGGAGCCGCTGACAAAGGCCGTGGATGAGAACTTCTCAAAGAATCAGCAGTCTTCGCTAAATGCATTGCTGGTCTTGAAGAGCATCGTGACAACTTTTGCAGCAGACCGAGACACTGCTGGTCCATGCGCAGCCATGAGTCCAGAAATGAGGCGGAGAACGTGGAGACCCGCGACAATGGGAACATCATCATGCAGGGAGCCCGGCGAGGGGCAGAAATACTTGTGGCTTTGTTGCGTTTTGGGGTTCTGCACCCCGCACAGGCGCCTCTTCATGGACAACAACACGGAGAAGCGCATCGAGAACCCGTACATCCCGATGGCCTTCGAGGCACTCTGTCAGAAGTTACCTCTCCCTGCGAACGTGAACATCCATGCAAACAATTGCTCGCTCCCCATCCAGGCTTTCCGTGATTCCGTCGAGTTCATGCTTGCGGATAACCAGCACATGGCAGAGCACATTGAGTTTCTCAAGAAGCAAGAAAAGGCTTCACGAAAGCCTCGTCTTACGTCGCTTCTTGCCCAATCTGCTAGGAGGAGAGCAGAGGCCGAGCCAATGAGATCACAGAGAGGATCGGTATCTTGGCAGCGCGGAAGCTTGCCGTTTAAGCGCCTAAAGGGAACCTGCCTTTTTTCGGCCTCTTTCAGGTCGGCAAAAGCCGGGTCGGCGTCTCTGCTCCGCGGGATGTTCCAGCCTGCCCTGTAAGCCTTCAAGAGCCCTTCAAGCGCTCGAGGCAAGAAGAACGAAGCGAAGCAAGAAGAGAACAGCATGGCACCCAGTCCTTTCCTGTTCCGAACTCGCGAGGGTTGAGGCTTCAAAACAGCCGCCTACTCCTAGCAGGTCCCGCCGCTTCGGGGCTCAGCGCTTCACGGGAAGATTCATTGCAGGCCGCTCTCAAATCTGTGAACATGTGCCCAACGGCACGCTGCATCTTGCAGCAGACTACACTGCTGCTGCTTCAGTCTTGGCATTTCCCATGCTGCGTCTGCCGCGAGGGCTCGGAGCAGTCCCAAAAGAGCGGCAAGCCAGGCGGCACCCTTTACGGCTGTGCACTGCGATTTTTGTTCGACGGTTTTGCGGGCAGCGTCGGTTGTGCCAGTCAGACACTGTCATTGCCTTCGTCCGTGCATCCTGAGCTGTCTTTCAGCTGCAAAGGAGAGAGCCGTCCTAGATCACCAGCCACGCCCATCGCAGATCGTAGTCGCCTCAACCCATGGCGACTGCTTCTGCGATACGACTAGCAAGTACTGCTTGCTGTGTGGCAGTCCTGGCCGGAAGTTGGACCTGGCTGGCCACACTTCCGACGAATGTGTTGTTCGGGCTGATGACCAGCATTGCGACATTGATTGCGCTGAGCTTTATCCCGGACAATCAGGGCGGGAAGCAGTCGGAACTTCATCGATACCCAGCCACTGATTCAAAACTCCCTTTGCCAGAGTCCAACATCAGAGACTCTTACCCAAAGTACAACGAGAAAGACCCAGTGAAGTCCTTCGTGTCGATCTGTGAGTGTCTGATTCGTGAGTGCACAGAGTCTCTACCTTCCACGCACGAGCTGCCACAGATGGAGCAAAAGTGGATAGTTGACATGCTGGAGTACAACGTCAAGGGCGGCAAGATGAACAGAGGCTTGATGGTTGTGGAGAGCGGCAAGGTGATCATGAAGGCCCAGGGCAAGGAGGTCACGGACGACGATCTGAAAAAGCTTGCAGTCCTCGGCTGGTGCATAGAATGGCTGCAGGCATGGCTCCTGGTCGCAGATGACTTCATGGACAGCTCTGAGACTCGCCGCGGGCAAGTCTGCTGGTACAAAAAGGATGGTGTCGACGAAATTGCTATCAACGATGCTTTCCTTCTGGAGATGCTGGTCTACAGAGTGTTGAAGCGACACTTCTGGATGGAGCCGTACTACATCGACCTGGTGGACCTCTTTATGGAGACAACCTTCCAGACCGAGTGCGGTCAGCTTCTCGACCTTCAGTGCAAAAACCTAGGACTTGCGGACTTCACCTACAAGCGTTGGGAGCTGATAGTTAAATACAAGACTGCGTTCTACTCCTTCTACTTGCCGGTGGCCCTCGGCATGACGGTAGCTGGCATCAGGAACCAGGCAGCCTACGATGCAGCCAGGGAGCCCTTGCTGCTGATGGGCGTCTACTTCCAGGCACAGGATGACTACCTAGATGCCTTTGCCCCCCCTGAGACCCTCGGGAAGATTGGCACCGATATCCAGGACAAGAAGTGTGGCTGGCTCTTCGTGCAGGCATACCATGAGCTCTGCTCATCTGAGCAGAAGGCCTACCTGGATGAACACTATGGGAAGTGTAAGGTGCAAACAGAGGAGGAGAAAAAAATCAAGGACATCTACAGAGATATCGGCTTGGAGGAGAAGTACAAGAACTACGAGGCACAGTCTTTCAAAGACATCATGGCCTTTCAGACACAGGTGGAAGAAGTAGGTCTGCCTTGGGAGATCATTGAGATCTTCTTGAAGAAAGTCTACAAACGCACCAAGTGAGCGCCACTTGCAGTTTTGGAGAGTCTTTTGCAGTTGCCTGTGGCATTCTGCGGGTCAACCATTGATTAACAGGTAGTAGTGCGTTTCGTTGACGCTGTCAGCATTGTGTCAGATTGTTTGGCCGAGTATACCGATCGCTCATGCAAGGACGGCTGAAACGATCCGAATAGCCTAGTCTCACAAGTGCATATTTTCCAACTTGCGCCGTGCGCAAATTTTACTCAGGCTTGCAAGAGACAGTCTGCACGAACGCAAGTGCCACAGAATGCTCAGAATCACAGAAAGAAACATTGGCCGGTGGCTCTGGGAAGGCAGAATTTGTTGGGTAGAACAGGCACGTTTGGCGCTGCTGCTGCTGCTGCCACCACGGGCACCGGTGTTGATGACAGTTTCGCAGACAGTCGGGTGCTCAAAGCAAAGTGGCAGTGCATGACTCTACGTGGCTTGTCAGACTTATGCGCCTCAGCGTGGCAACTGAGTTGACAGCGCTGTTTCAGAGGACGAAGGCATTCTTGCTGGTACAAGTGCACGTGTCTCGATACAGCGCAGACGCTCTGTCCTGCAGGCGAAGCAGAACAAGAGGCTGCAGCTACCTTCGGCACGCGGAAGCCCGTACCTGAACGCGTTTTGCACGGAAGCCGGTCCCTCTACCCCGAACCTGCACGAAGGCAGGCATGTGAAACTAAGAGTGAGCATTAGCCAGCGGATGTTGCCTCAACTCCCGAAGAAGTGCCCCAAGACTGGGACACTACACGTGATGCGAGTTGCTTGATTCTGGTCTTGGCTCCAGCAACACTTCAGAAGATGCCATATTTCAAGCAGGTCCCCATCCATGGTGGAGAGTATCCATCCTTGGCAATCCAGAAGTGCATGGCAGATGGAGTCAGGTAGAGCATGTAGTACAGAGAGTCGACTTGGTAAGCGGGACTGTGATGAGGAACCACCCTGGACAGTGTCATACGTTCAGACCTGCAAGAGCATCATCTCGACAGCGCCTTGCCCTCCACCGGCCCACCCATTGGCCTCCAGTATGACAGAGGCCGGGACCACAGTGTCACAGAGTGTGTAGAGTGAATGTGCACAAGGATGCGATGGTCTTCTAGATGCATCGTTTAGGTGCAGAAAGCACAGCTTGCCGCCAATGCTCTTGTGGCCAAGCTACAGAAGGGAGAGGAGTCGATCCATAGTCTGCATTGCTAGCAGCTTGCGTGTAGGCTGGCATTGTGCCAGGGAATTACCAACTCAGGCCATAGAAGCTTTAAGACATTGCGGGCGCTTGCAGGATGCGATGGACGAAGCCAAGCACTTCGTTCAGTACGGAAGCAGCATCCCCGATGGTTCCTCGTCCTGCATTCTGGCGACAGCATGTTCGCGGAGCCCTCCTTTCAGTCAACCAAGGCTTGGTGGTGGGGTGCTTCGGCCTGAGGCACCCCTTGCCAGTGTTGTGCTGTATACAAACCAGTAACAGCTCTTTAAATTAATTGGGTATCGGACACAATCTTCCGGCACCTTGGCCACGCAGCTCGGAGGGATCACACTTGAGAGTTGTTAGATTGATTGGAAGTGATGACCGCTTCTGTGTCTGGTGCAGGGCAAGAGGAATCAAGTCCCAGCCAGACGTTCTGGCATTTCTTCTCGCGCACAAAGGAAACCCCCATGCAGCTGCCAGCCGGCACTTGGTGGGTCACCTGCGGGAGAGAACAGTCATAGAGATGAATGTGCTCTTCAGGAAGATCCGATGACCGAAGGACAGCAGCTTGCTGCGGCTCTTGAAGGTTTGACGCCCGGGGTTGCCGATCGCAGGACCCGCAATCCACAGCGCTTGCTGGCACGGCTCCGTGGAGGTCGTGAAAGTTCTCCTCGAGTTCAAGGCGGACTTGGAGGCCAGGCCGAGCCCGGAGCCATGCGGAGCATGAGTCCATCTGAGCCCGCTCCCCAGCTTAGCCTTAGCTGCCTTCTTGCAGTCTCAGGCGAAGGAGCCTAAGATGGAGACGCCTCCACTGAACACTGCTATTGCGGCATCTCGGCTGAGACGGCTTAATGAAGGAAGTGCTGCACGCTTGCTTGCATACGTGATAGCTGTGTGCGGCTTTGCTGGCAAGGCCGGAAATGCGCCGGTGTGCCTGGAACTGCTGAAGCGCAACGCCGATGTGCCTTTGGCCGGCGTTGAAGACAGTGTGCAGTTATCCCTGAAGCATGGAGCAGAAGCAGGTCATGCTTGTGCTGTCGGTAAAGCGTTTCGGACACATACTTAGACTCGGTGGGCTCCTCCGCACGCCCGAACTGTTCCGAGATCTGAGCTAGCCAGCTCAGGTGCAGTGGAAGCATCACGATGGTGCAACAGCCCTACATGCCACTGGACCAAATGGTACCGTATGCTCTGTCCCTGCCAGAAACTCCGTGCATTGAAGTTCAGGTTGCCACAGCATGGATCGCAAGTTCTCACAATTCAGATCTACGTGCTTCTCTCAGCTGTGGCTGTGAACGCAGACCCTCTTTGCCACACCCTGTGCTTGAGGCATGCCTCCCACTGGCGAGGAGCCAAGAAAGGTAATTGCACGGCACCCAGCGAGTGCTGTGCCAAGATGTCGGCGGCAAGGAGATGCAGCGGTCGAAGTGCTCAGGCCATGATGCTCCACAACGGTGTGGACCCCACCCAGACCGAGGGCATGTCCAAGGGCACGCACCGGTCCGAAGGTTGGGTCAGCCGCGAACTGGAGACTGCAACTAGAGGAGAGACCCCTTCAGGCATGACGCCTCTGGAGTCTTTTCGCCGAGAGATTGCGAGGCGCAGCGAGCCAACAAGAGAATGTAGACGGATAAATGTACTATGTTGCAGGGTTCGAATTAGGAATTTCCGTGAGTGTATATAACTCCATGTCAACATTGGTGAGTGTGCATTTTCGGTTCTATTCCGGTGAGATGAGTAATAACAACCTACATCTTATAAAACTGGCCAGAGTGCGCGTTTTTCGTCAGGTCTCCGTGGCGGACGCACGAGCAGATAGGTCGTTTCCTGGCACCGAATTTTGAGGGCTGCGTTGTCAGAGGTTTCAAAGGTGGCGACAGTCCAGTACAAGGCTTCCCGCAAGCACTTAGCTGCGTGCGCTAGCGACAGGCAAGTTCGATGAAACGGCGAAGTCTATCCATTTGCTCCTCGAGCAGGCAGCCTGTCATGAGAAGCTCGCAACCAATGATCGAGCCAACAAGTGCATCGTGCCAAGATCCTGCAGGCGGAGGAGGCCGTGAAACTGAAGCAGACTGGCAACAAGGCCCTGAAGGAGAAGCGCTACGATGATGCGCTGAAGGCTTGAGCTCCAAGCTCTTTCGACATGCGGATCGTTTGCATGCGCCAGGCGTGGAGGCATGCCCGTGAAATCTGGAAGAAGGCAAAGTCGAGCTCCCCGAAGGCCGTGTCGTCCAGCAGCAAGTTCTTGATGAACGCAGCAGGCAGACGTCAGTGGTCACCATGTTGCCGTTCTGTGGAGCAACGAAGTCCCGACCCCAAGAAATCAATAAATGAAGCTTGGCTCCTGCTACCATTCCAACAGCACTTTAATGATATCGAGTGCTATCACTAGCAAGCTGAGGCCATATGTTGCCGCCAAATGGAAGACTTGGCGGCAGCCACTCACGCTGGCGAGGAAGGCTTGAAGCTGTATGCGCTGCACCCGACTCGGCTTACTCAATGCCGCATCTGCAGCTTTGCTTTTTCGACCGGCTTTACCCTCCGTCGCTCAAGGCCGCAGATCCGACAGAAGCTGCAGCACAGCTTGGAAGAGGCCAAGAAAGGGCCCAAGGAGCAATGGGGCTGCAGAGTTCGCCGGTGACAGATACAACCAGATGCCAGACATGGCATGGTGCGAATTCTGTGTGGAGGAGAAATCGCCGGAAGAGGAAAAGAAGCGAGAAGAACTCGCGCAACTGCACAAGGCATATCATCCTGACATTTTGTCCAGAAGTGTCGATTGTACTGGTCACTGATCGTCGCGAGGAGAAGAGACAAGAACAGAAGAAAGAATGGAAAAACTTAACAGAAAAAGCAGCCGCCTGGCCGATTCCGTGTTTGGGCGCGGTTTCAAAGCTTGCGGCACTCCAACCGTCAGTGAGCGGTAGAGCAAGACCGTTGTTGTTTCTGTGTTCACGGCAGGCAGTCTTAGGGCATGTCGATGTGGTCGTGGCAACAACTAATAATTACTAAGACCTTCGCCATCAAAGGATCGCAATCATCATGGCAAGGGTGGAAGGTACATAAATGCTCGCCAAGGCAAGCATGAACTACAGGCTGATACTTTGGACGCCTCGAAGCTGGCGGAACACCTTAACGGTGCATGGCGTTTGTGGAGTCTGTTGCTTCTTATACCGCCATGATTGGGTGTGAGAATAGTCGCCTGCACCCGCATTATCTCAACCGCTGCTGTGTTAGGCATAATAAACAGGGGGCGCAGCGGAAAGTATCATTCGCTACATATAGTAAGCACTCCCTCGATTTGACTCGTGCTGCGAAGCACAACATGACAGTGTGCTTTGGCTCGTCCAACAAGGAGGGAGAAGGTGCGAAGTGTAGCTTGCAACCTCTGAAGTGTGGTATGTTCTGGACTTGTCGGTACTGTGCTAATACTGCTCGGAAGAAGGTCGTTGCGGAAGGAGGTATCTATGGGCCGGATGGAAGCGCTCAGAAAGACTATGCTGCCTGCTCGCACTCAACGTGGGGGATTGTCATCGCAGTCGTCACACCTGGTCGTTCTCCGGGTTTCAAGTTGGCAGCGGTGATCAGGTCATTCCAGGTCCTTTCATCTGCCCGATGAAAGAAGCCCAGGCCGGGACTGAGCTGCGAGTTCCGAGGGCTTCGGAGCATTTCGGAGCCATCGCCGTGCAGGAAATGGGCCTCGGACCGCCTCCGGAGCCAAAGCCATGGTGGGAGAAGCGAGATGCAGCTTGGCAAGTTGCCCCAGCTGGCAGTACGCAGCATGTGGTAGCTGAGGCAGATTCTGATGAGGAACCTGAAAGGAGGGGAATTGGTTATTTGCCCGCTCATCATCCAAACTGGTGAGGGCCAGCAGATACAAAATCTGCTTGTCTCACAGCGAGTGGCAGTGAGCCTGACATCAAGTAGCAAGGCCCTTCCTGAAAGGATGGGCACGCCTTGACGCCGACACACTGACGAGAAGCCAGCTCTTTGCGATAAGCACTTTTGATCGTGGAGCCTTGCTCCGAAACTACCAAGCATGCTTAGATTTTCAGGAAGAAGGCACAGCCGAGAGCCGATATACCGTTCGTCGACTGCCCGGGATGGTCTGAAAATGGGCTTGCATAGAGTGGTAGTCCTGTCCGTTTTGCGTTGGTTGTGTGTTACGGCAGTGCCCATGCACGAAAGCCAGTCCCTGCTAACAGTCTTCCATGAGGCTCGTGCTCGCAAACTTCTTTCCCACCTGTTTCCAGCTTGCCGAAGCCTTGGCACAGACTTCATTATCGCTTACAATGCTTTTGCTTCGGAAGACGCAAGGCGACGATTGAGCTTGTCATCCGCTGCTCTTCCTTCGGCTTCAACAAGACAGTTCTCAAGCAGAAAGATTCTCAGTCCTTTCTGCACCAATGCCACTGAACGCCACGGACCGTTTTCCAAAGCTCTACAGAAGCTCTACAGGTTCAGCAAGAGCGTCACGGAGTCCCAGCTTCGTAAGGATGATATGGAGGAGGCCGAAAGCTTGCAAACCGAAAGCTTGAGATAGGAGATTTCCATCGAGAATCGATCCCCAGCCTGTCATAAGGCTGAGGAAGGAGCCGTGGAGGCCGATGCCAATCAGCAGGATGACGATGGCACCGTTGCCAGACAGAAGTGCCCTTCACGGAGTCTTACATTTACATCTTGTCGGCGCTTGTTGCAACAACAAAACATGGCCAAGTAGTTGTTCAGCACTTGTAGTGTTTTTGGAAAACGGTGCTAGTTAAGTAAGGGCCTGCAGCCTACTGGTCCGACGATGCGAGGGTCTGATCATTACAATCACTCGAAAATCAGCCAATGATTCCTTGTCGTAGGCATCGACTCGAAACCTGCCTTCGTGTTCGATGATACGGTGGCAGGCAGAGTACTGGCTTGTAAGACACAGGATGTGCATTCCTTGCGGCCGTTGGCATGGCCGCAAGAAGTGGATGCATTTGCCACCTCAATCGGATGGAAACGAAGAAAAGGCAGTGCGTTCATGCAGGGAATGTTTACCCAATGGTGAGAATCCAGTAACCAGACAAACATTTGGTTCATGAGCAGCAACGTTACACACATGCGGAATGCTGATGGGCAGGTATTTCCGCCACGTGATCTTCTGGTTGCACATGCAGGACAACATGATCAACATTCCTCTGATTGTTCAGGACTGCCTCGGTACTCCAATTCCCTGTCGGATGATTCGTAGTGGCCTGCCTCGCAGACAGGACGGCTTCATCCGCATGATGTGCATCCTTCTGAAACCCCATGAGGTCGAGGCAGGGATGCTTTTGCGCCGGTCCTTGTCACATCCTGGCGTTCCATTGCAGTGCAGGATGTGCTCCACAACCGCTTCACTGCCAAGCAGCGACGGCTGCGCAGCAACGCTGTCAAGCCCACGGACACCGTGTGCTGGCCTGCAACTAGATGTGCGTGCTCGTCTTGTGACACATCGGTTCTTTGACACCCAAGGTGTTGTTGCTAATCAGATGGCCAGCAGCTGAGTTTCAGTTGCCGCTGCCTCCAAACTTGACCTGCTCAATCGGCGTCCAAAGCTCTTGCAGAGGTTCACGGAGTACTTCAAGAGATTTCCAGATCTTCATCTTTTTGGCAACCGAATATCGCCGGTGGTGGAGGTGCACACTCAGTTGTGTAAAGATAGGACGATTTTCTGGTATCAACTTAGCTGTGAGGTGGAATTCTTGAAGCGATTGCATCACCGGAATAGACGCATTGTAAAAAGAACACAGGATGATGATGAAAGAGTGCTTTTTCAAGAGCACTCGCGTTTTGAAGGCAATCGATGAGCGTGTCACCTACGAGCTGATCGGGGCTTGGTGCAGTCAACGGGTCTTTCGTCTCTGTGCAGCGCATTTTGGGGCACAGCCTGGGCTCAGGTCGCCTTTCTTCGTGCGGGATCACATCTTCCTGCTCTTTACACAGGCATGCGAAAGGGGAGCATGCAGTGGAGCATCGTGTGAAGGTGCGCGCTGCTTCTAGGTACTGCATGCCTACAACATCCAAAGGACCTGGGGCAAGGAAGGGACCTTGGTTTCCCTTCGAGTCCAAGAGTTGCATGAACACTGCCAGACCCGAGTCGATAAGGACTGGTTCTCCAGCTCCGTGCGCGGAGGACCGGTCCTTGGCATTCCGTGGTGCCTTTCAATTTTGTCAGGGAACTAGCGCTCACGACACGCCTCGTTTGCTGCGACGCTGTAGGACAAGAAGATCAGCCACCCACTATCTCTGAGCCGATCTTTGCGGACCGCCTTGACCGGTGGAGTTGCGGGGGCGCTTGGAATTGAAATTGTTTGGCAGGACTTGGTGCGTCGGCATGCGTTCGAGCTCGCCGAGAAGGAGGGCGATGCAGCTGGTGCTCAGGCGAGCCTTTGCTGCCAGTGCAGCGCTCTCTTGTGAGGCGTGAGGAAACAGAGGGAAGACGACTCCAACATAAGGAGCTTTGGAAATCGCACGTCCACCAAGAGACACCATCGTGTGGCGTTGCCCAGCATTGTCAACCCATGCAACAGGACGTTCGTGCTCTTTGCATGTTGTGCCTTTACCGGTGTGATGCAGAACCCTTTTGACATTCCGTGTGGGAATGTAAAAGCAACGCACAGGGATTGTCGGGCATCAACGCAGGGTATGTTGAAAGAGGTGGAGTTCACACAGCGGGAAAGCAGGCATCGCCAAACACTGCACTAAATCGACAGTGGCACTTGCTGCTCCTTGCCAAGGAGCAGCTTCACTTGGACAGTTCCAAGCTCAAGAGTGTCTTTCCACGCCATCAATGTTTCTTTCTGGGGCAGGCAAAGCGCCTCGCAACATTCGTTTCCCGTGTCTGTTTCCACCGGCGATCAAAACCACATCGCCGGGCTTCGTCATAAAGTCCCGTCTTGCGACCAGGAACCTTCTGCGCGAGAGCGGGTGTGAACCCCCGAGTGGTTTGCAAGTGCTCCTAAAAGGGCTGCATCAATGCCGGTGCCGTTGATGGCCTTTCTCCACAATGCCAATCTGGTGGTTGTCAGCTGCATTGTGTTCGATCGAGCTAGCATGTCTAAATTGCCGGAAAGAAGCCTGCATTCTGCATGCAATATGCAGACAGGGAACGAGTGTCTTCCTGGTAGTAGCCAGCACTTTTTGGTTGGAATCACCATCCTGCATGTCCACTCGTCTCAAGCATCATCAAGCCTGCGTGCTTGCTTGCATAATGCTTGTACTGTAGCCCACTGTAAAGATCGTACGACGGACCACGAAGCGAAACACTGTGATTCCATGTGATGGTGAGATTTTCGTTGTTGTGGGGCTGACACAGAACCAGCTGAGGTAGCTGCCTGCAGTCACAGGGTTGGAATGTTTGGTATTGTGGTAAAAGTCTTCTGCAGTCGAATTCCACGGCTGTAGCATCAGCAGGCACACGGCGACGCAGAGGGAGAAGGCGATGATGATCGAGCCAACATGCTGGATTCTGAGCTGAGCCACCCTGATCACACAAAAGCATCGTAAGTTGTTGCCGAGGACAGACATCATCGGCGAGCTGTTTAAGGCGCGAGCTGGGAATTAGTCTCAGTCTGTGTGCAGCGTGTAATGGAGCAGTCTCCCTGACACTGATGCTACATGACCACATCCTCTAGTGCTTCCTCTTGAGAAGGATTTCCCAATGCAGGTACTGTTCAAGCAGCAGGATTGGGCTGCTGAAGATTGGGGCGTTGACCAGGAGCCTGTAGCCGTTCTAGAAAAGTTGCACAGGGCGGAAGATCAACTCGCACGGACTCGAAGACTTAATCAAGGAGCTGATGCACATCATTCGGATGATCCTGTCTCTGGGCTTGTGCAATGCGTTGGAGCCTAAGCCCAGGTCTGTACTCACACAGCGCTCGGAGCAGACTAAACATGTCAGGAGCGAAGTAGAAGCTGCAAAGCATTGCCTACAGCGGCTTGGAGTGGGCATGGAGCAGGATGCAATATGTTTGTTTGCCTTCGTTTACCGGTGCTCTCAACATGTTGCGACAAACATGCAGCCAAAAGCCTGGAGGATTTCCAGATAGTTGAACAGACTCGGGGCGATCCCGACATTGGAGAGCAGCAGGGGGCGGGAGCTGGATTGGACGAGGACGGAACTTGGGTGAATGTGCTGCTGAGCGCAGCGCGGCGGAATGGCTTTGATTCAACAGGGAGCGGTGAATGCATGCTCAAATCTCGCAGCAGGGCTAGTTGAGAGCACATTGGGCACTGCTTCTCAGAAGCCAGTCGGGAGTAAACATGTTCTGTGAAGGTGTCTTTTGCCCTTTGCCTTGCAGGAGTCTGATGAGGAAGGCAGTAGACCGTGGGTGTTTCCAAACTCGACATGTGCCTGTTCAATGTCCACTGCTCACAACTTCTGTGACCTCGGGTATTGCCAAGATGTCCTGACCTCGAGCTGTGCCACGTGTGAAGAGGCAACCCTCGAAACCGGTCGCGCGTCGTGGGCCTGCACGACACTCAGCCTTCAGGAGTAGACAGACGTTAACGTTCAGCCTACATTGTGTTGAGGCATCGAGGCTTCGTTGGTCAAGAAGATGAAATGTACACTCCAGCGTTCCAGACCCTGAAGCCGCTGGAGGCTGCATCTACGCATCAGACAAACAGTTTGATGTCGTTCCGTCTCGTGGCATGGTGACTCCGGCAGGACTTTGGCGGCAGGCTACCTGACATCAAACGTAATCCGCAGTCGGACACCAGCATCAAGCAGCAGGAGCGTCTCCAGGACCGATGCCCCGTGAGCACAGGAATCTTTCCTCTCCCATCCCCAGCTCCAGCGACTCCGGCGTCCCTGTCCTCTGACAGCCAGGACTTTCTGTATGAGCTGGTGGAGATGCCAGACATGGCGCTCCCCATCTGCATCCCGGGCTGCGTCTCCCCAGTCCCGAAGCTTGCTTAGATCTCCAAAGGTTGGCGAAGTCGCTCCATGTGGACGTCAATCTCTGGCGCCTGCGTCTCTGATTCTGGCGCCTGCTTTTGCAGGGTTCCCGTTGTGGTTTCTCCAAGCACTCAGGCCGACAGCTGATCCAGCACCCCACCTTCTTGCTCAGGGGAAGTGATGTCTCGGCCTTATCGCCAGCGCCGTATTCTCGCCCTCGGGCTTCCTCCGTCCAACAAGGAGCGGATGTGGCACGTCGGTAAGGAGATCGTACAGAGACTGCAAGGCGATCTTTGAGGGTCGCAAAGCGGAGATAGCGAGATCCAAGTCAGCGACCAGGCTTGAGCTTCAAGCTGACCGCTGGGGAAAACCTGTTGCAGGTCCGAGCTCCACCAGCAAAATGGAATTAGGACCGCGACGAAACGCGGCGTTGCTGCTGGCAGGAGTTTAGCTGCGAAGTCCATGTACTTCGACCAGGCGAAGACTGCGTCATCTAGCGTAGTGCCTTACGGATCGAAGTCAGTTGTTCTGCAGGGTCGCTTCCTTTGTTGCTGCGTGGTCTTCTCCTGACACGATTCACTCATCGGCTGAACCTAAAATCTCCTGTCGCAGTCCCAAAAGTGGGTCCAACATTCCACTCAAAGCAAGCATCAGACGTCTGCAATGCTGAGCATGTCCCCCCTCCCCTCGCCAAGCCTCCTGTCGTAGCGCGAAAGTGACCGCCCATTGAGCGCAGCAGATGGAGGATCGGGTCGTCGAAGACCAGAGTTTCCGCTTCTCTGGCCAGAGACAGCGTAAGTCCATCTTTTCGATTTTAACAAGTTGCTCCGATCTTCTGTAGGCCGGACTTCAAACCAAGGGCAGCTCTCTCTATCAATCTCTCGCTAGTTTCTGGCTACTGCTACAAGCTGGTGTTGTCTAGCAGGGTCCCTCCTCTGGATTTTTGCGGCATTCGCTGGCGGGGTTCCTTGGACCACTTCGTGTCCGGAACAGAGCTGTCATATGCGAGGCGATGGCAACGTGGCTGGGTTGTCGCTGCAGAAAGACAAACGCAAGGGAAATGTGTGATCCCGAGACCACCCATGGCAAATGTGGCTGCGTTTCCCCCGACCATGATACATGCATTCTTCCTGCAAGTTCACCTAGGACCATCAATGGAGGGGGCATGGGACAGCTGGTGAAGGCAATTGGAAAGATCCGGAAAGAAAAGTGCACAGTATCTACGACAACACACTGCGCGACGTCGTGCAGGACTTGTCAACAATCAAGTCTACTTCGAGGTCGAAGTCAACGGCACGTGCCCTACCGGGGACGATCAGCATCAGAGCTGAAGTTCTGCAAAGCAAGGGCATCTCTCACAGGAAAGGACGTCGTCTTCTTGAAGAACATGTCCAGCAATCTAGGCCGAGTAAAGGCCCGGCAGATCGTGAAAGCCTTAAGGCCCTAAGGGCTTAAAGGCTCCCTGACGGCTTTCAAGGTGAGATTGCAGCTGCTGGGATGCCATACTGTGACGCTGCACGGGTCCATGATACCTTCTCCACGCTCACATGGTGCCGATGCTCGCAGCTCAGGCGCAGCCGCTGCCTTTTTGACACCGCCGAGTTCCAGCTCGCAGTCTCCAATCCTCGGATGGTTGCCCTGACTTCACCCAAGGCACTCCGGCACAGCTCACGGTCTTTCCAACCTAGACTTTAAACGTATTTGCCATGTTTATCCGTGAGCTGGTACGTAACTCTGGTAATGACACTTGAAGAACGGGAACCCTCACGGACTGCAGCTGTTCTCAACCCCCCTCCTTGGTCTGTTCGTGCGCTTCAGGCATTCTCTCCGGAGGTCATCATGAGGGCAGCGAAGGTCGGTGCTCAGAGGCGCAGTCGGTCGCGAACTGCGAAGCTGCCCAGTGCCTTCAGTCGGCAGCAGCGATCACAGGCAAGCCGAGGCTTTGCGGCCTGTGGTGTCTGGCCATGAGCACTGCCGGCACGACTTATAATGGCTTCAAGTTCGCACAAGTCTCGAGCAGCAACATTCCAGGGAGGATGCAGAAGAGGACGGTGGCATCAATGGTTTCTCTGTTTCGCGCATGGCTCATCGAAGTGTCAGACATGACTTGCTGCAGGAGGCCCACATGACCGCCTGAGTCCAAGCTGATCCCATCATGCCCTCGAGCTCACTGACTGCCTCTTCCCATGCTTGTTGAAGAGCAGTCGGATAAGGAGTCCGATACTACTGGTCAAGTGAATCCTCTAGACGGATTGGAAACCGGAGGGAAGAAGGCTTGCTTGATGCACCAGACGAATGCCGAGACGCCATTTCTGCAGCCCGGAAGTCATGTCTTGCATCAACACGCCAGGTCAGCATGGCCAAGCGGGTGATTCACGAGCTGATGCCGAAATTCACAGAGAAGGCCTTTGGCTGTCTGTTGAGCTCACTGACACAGCTTCAGCCGAAAGTCGAAGAGGTCATTGATTTGGTGGAGGACCTGGTGCAGCATGCGCTGCCTCCAGAGCTCTGCTCACTTGCTATTTGTGCGACATGTCGGGTTTTTTTAGAGAGGACCGGTGCTTCAAGTTTGAGAAGCAGTCAAAGGGTCTCGACGAGCGTCTCCTCCAGGCAGTGCGAAGCAAGAGAAGTCGAAGTCGCAAAGTAGCTGCTAAGAACCGCCAATCGGAAGGCCACAAGGGAGCACGAGCATGATTTCATCATCGCCATGCTCAAAAGATCAGTGCAAGAGACTTGGTGCCCAGCACATTCGCAATGGTTGAGCAGGTGTCATTCTCTGCTTCAGGTCATTTGTGATGCTGGATGTCTTTCTGGAGAAGCTCGAAGTGGAGAATGCCGACTTACTGTATGTTCAGTATCCCGCCATGGTCGAGGCTGCTTGGAGAAGACTGCGATGACATCAAAACCCGAGTCATCATCGGAGTTCCGAACTGCCTGAGGTTTACGAAAGCATTCAGGAAGATTCTGTGGACCACGACGAGCTGGACGACATTCCCAGGCTCCTAAACAGAATTCCAGCTCCTCTGCAAGTCCAACGTCTCATTGCCTCTTCAAACGGCTCTGACAGGATCTTAAAACGGCGCATTGACGACGGCAGTGTGGATGAAGAAGGGGTCCCTGGCCCAAGTTTGGTTGGAAGTTGCACCCTTGCCCGATCAAGCACAGCTCGCAGTTCTGTCAGAATCAGCGACTTCCTCGCTTCTTCGTTTTGAGTTTAATCGACAAAGGTCCGCGAGTTGATTCCGGCAGAGGCCATGACCTGATCAATCAGAGAAATATTGACTGGGGTACGCTAGACATCGATTGTCGGTGGCTTTTGGATTCTGCGCCTTTATTTCTGACGTTGTGGCGCGGTCCCAAGACTGACACAGACAAGCCGACTGGATCCGGCAGGCAAGGCTTCTCCTCGTGCAGACGTGGATCATGCCTTCACCTTGGGCGTCCCCAGTCCAATCAGGGCAACACGCAAAAGCCTTGAGCTTTGATATGACCCTGAACCTAAGACTGATTCAGCCCTGAACCTTGAAGCTGGAACCCACACCATCCCATACCCATGACTTTGACGATGAGCCAAACCGAGGCGCTTGTGTCATGCAATCCGAACCGTTGCTTTCCTCGGGATTCAGCGGATGGATATCCTCAGCGCTACGGATGGCCAGACGCCCAGCGACAATCTTTCAGCGAGCCTCGGTGTACTTTGTTACTGAGGGTTTACCGCTCCTGCTGCCAAACATATCATGCGTGCTAGTATTTTGGCTACTCTTACAGGACTAATGACTGACTAATGACGTACTTACCATCACCCGTAGAAGGTTTTCGGCATCTTACGAATTCGTTCATTATCCGCAACCTCGAGTCCTCCTGCACCACTCCTACTACTACCACCACCACTTCAACTAGGACCACCACCACCACCACCTACTACTACCACCACCACTGCTGCTGCTACTACTACCACGACGACGACGACGACGACGACGGCTGCTGCTGCTGCTGATGCTGCTCCTACTCCTACTCCTACTCCTACTCCTACTCCTACTCCTACTACTACTACTACTACTACTAGTAGCCACCCCCGGCTGCTGCTACTGCGACTGCTATTGCTACTGCTGCGACTACTACGGCTACCACTATACTCCTACTACGACGACGACGTCGGGGACGAACCACTGCTGCTGCCACGACGACTAGACTAGCACCTCTTATTTGCTGTCGTCGCACCGTTTTGCAATCGCAGTTGAATTTCCACATTGCAGGCGCCTGCAGGAATGAAGTGGATCCTAGTATGCAAAAGCCCCATGGACCCATTCTGTAAATATGCATGTCAGCCTAATCGCAGTAAGCCACAGGGTGCTAAGCCTACAGATATGTGTCTGATCTCTGTCTCTGTTTGTCTATCTTTCTCGCTCACTCTCTCTCTCTCGCTCTCTCTCCCTCTCTCCCTCCCGCCCTCTCTCGCTCTCTCGTCACACGTCTGCTGAGTCATGTAGTTCTGCACATCTGTGTCGTCTACCGCATCATTGTTTCTCCTTATGTCATGGCCTAGGTGTGGAGGACGAGCAGGCTGGGACCCTTTGGCATGCATGGGCAAGCTTTGACTCGAAAAATCCAGAACCTTCAGGAGTCTCAGTCGAAGCTGACAGGACGTGGAGAAGGAGGACGACTTGGGGCTGAACGGTGAAGGTGGTTCCGCAGCCCGGGGCCCAGTGCTTTTCCCCTGCTTCAGGAGCCTCTTTGCAAGGATGTCTAGGCCACAGCATTCACAAGACTGATTATGCTCACAGCCTCTGCATAAAGCTCGTATGGTGCAAAGTGCGATGCTGGTAGTGCTGCCTCAGGAGCTTACAATGTGGTCCTCTTGCCGAGCTGTGCTCAACATTCTCCAGGTCGGACGGAGACTGCTTCGTGTGTAGCTGAAAACCGCTTCGCAGTTCTTAGCAGGAGCTGCTGAGCCGAAACGACGAGATAGAAGAGCTGTGGGCAAGGTCCGTGGCATCAAGTACGGCACTCGAGAGCCCCGTTGCAGCTCGTGCCAGCATCTATGAAAGCTCCCAGGTTCACAGTGCATCGTGAACAGTCCAAATGGGAAGATGAACCTCACTTTTCTGACGGAGAAGGAGAGCCCCCCAATAATGCGGGAAATAAGTATGTGCATGCTGTATGACGACGACAGGCGACTTTCTTCTGCCCATTCAGCTACCAACAAGTCCCAAGCTTAGCTTCGCAAATCTTCACGGTCTCGGTTGATTCCACAAGCGGCGGTGTTTCCTCTGTTTTCTCTGTTGAGGCCACCTCTGCCTCCGCGGGTACAAGCTCTCTCGGGAAGCTCCAGAGCTTCTTCGAAGAGGCGCGATCTCGCCGGATTCGGAGCTTCTATTCCAAAACCAGGCACTGTCGAGTGCATGGGGGCGGGCCGGAGCAGGGGGGCTTATGGTCCGTTACCGTTGTCAGGAGACCATGGTTTCGCGTGGAGGGTCCCAGACAAGCCAACGAAGCCGACGAGCCCAGGTAGCCTTCTCTGTTGGAACCTCCATAACCTGGTATGTTTTCTTTCTACGTCCTGTCTTGCTCTCGGTGCCGTCTGGACGCCCTCCCTGGCAGTCCTCACAGGCTTGAGTCCTTGAGTCCGGGACTGGGGTTGGCCCATTCATGGGCGTGCAGGCCTGCACGTAAGGTCACGCGACACATCCTCCTCACCTCTTGAATCTCCAGGACGCTATCAGCTGGTTCAACGAAGTTCCAAAGTGCTGCTAGAATCTGGTACTAAGGAGCAGGACTAGCAAAAGGTTCAATTACAAAAGGATCACCATATTGACACGAGAACAAGCCACAGCCCGTCGTCATCTTAGTGGTGGATTCTGCGATGCCCTAAACCCCATGCAGGCGCAGGTGCCGGAAGTGGACCCGCTGATGCTGGTGTCGGTGCTGCTCTACCATCCACAGGCACGCTACACGCATGAACTGTTTACTTGCGTCAATGCTGCAATCAGCGACTTCGTTTGTGACAGCTTGCAGGCTTCGTCTTACAGTCTGGTTTTGTGTCCCCTCTTTGCATTAGAGTCCAAACTGGTGTAGGGTCGACTCTCTTCCTCTCTACAGTGTGCCAGGCAACATGACTTTCCACAGACAGCCTGTTTTTTCTGCATACCGCGCTGATGACGAACATGCTTGCCGGCCAGACCAGGAAAAATACTTGCAGAAACTCGCCAATTTCATTTTCGAGACCAAGACCCGATCCACAGCAGAAGCGTCTCAACAGGAAGCATGCCTTTTGGCCATCAAGCGCTCTGGGATTCGGCAGCCGTGACCCATCTTTGATGATGCAGCGTGACACTGCTGCACGTGCTTTCCTGCATTTCGCGCAGATTCCTGTGGACATTTGGTCAAGGAGTCGCCAAAACCACGCCGACGCCGAAAGTTCATCTTGTAATGGAGGAAGTGTTGTTCTGCACACTAGCGCCGGCGCAGGATGTGCATGAGTTTAGCGCGTGCAAACTGTGTTGTTGCCGTGTCTTGTCGAGCCCGGCAGAGTAATATGTGGCACGAGGCATTGATGCGTCTGGACGCATTCAAACTTGGCTGCCGGATTTTGCGAGATCCCAACGAGGTCTTGCAGGAGGCAGAGCTATTTGCATGTTGTTGCACGCATGTCCTTCGCGCAAAATGTGGCAGGCGTACAAATCCCATACCAGCGACGAGATGCATTTGCAAAAGGCTGGTGATGTAACCCATATCATTTTTTATGAATATGACATCGGACGCTCCTGTGTGAAGTGATCCCAGCATGCGCCGAAGAGCTGGGAGGCTGTCGGATTTCAGTTCTGTGTCTTCGAGGATCTCTACAAGCGCCTGAAACACAGAGCCCTGTCGGCTTCGGCCAAGATAACCGGATTCCGTCGTGTTCGTCTTCTCTGAGGCGATACATACACCGAAAACCACATCGACATGATGGCAGCAATGCGCAAGCCCTACAAGTAGCTGTTCTCACCATGCAAAATCGAGCAATCGCAAGCCGGCCAAGCATGCCGCATGAAAGGCTCAAGCTCATTCAGCAGCTGTGCCATGCACCCAGACTGCTTCCTGACACAACCTGCTGCACCGTGAGAGTCCCGTGCTACTACTTTGAGCTTCAAGGTGAGGGCCATCTGCAAGCCCTTCAAGAGTTCCTGGGTGCTGATTACACAGTGGAGGACTGCTGCCGATTTGTCGAACGAGAGCTGCAGAGATTGGGTTGGTCGGGGACCGCACAGGAGCTGGACATATTCTCAGCAAAAACTCTTCCGGGCGGAGAAGATGAAGAGGAGAACAAGGCAGAGTCGGCTCACGCCAGCCACAACAGCACGCACACACACACACATGGGCGCTTGGATTGAGAGCAGTTCATAGTTCTGCAGCTCAGGCAGAAGGTCGCCGACACGAACAAGAGTTGGAGAAGAAGAGCGAACAGCACAACACTCACCCATTGCAACTTGGCTTTCAGATCGCTGCGACTTGTCCCGGGCTGAGGCCGACCAACATCGTGCAGTGGATCTCCCGGATGCATGGATCTCAGAGAATCAGTTCTACCTGTATCATGTTCAGCAGCAAGCGTGCGCATCGGGAGCTAGGCGGCCGACAAGTGCCAACGACGCACATACACCATGACCGAGGATCCACATGATCTTGGAGAGCATGCAGGAGGCTTCCAGATACGCATGGCAGGAATGAAAAGATGCATTACGAAAGGATAAGAGGCGATGCATTGCGACATCAGGCCACCATGAACGGGCGGGAGAAGCAATATGTGCGCAGCCAAGCTGGTACTGGTGAACTGACCTTCGTTCCAGAAGTCATGGAAAAGATACTTGGTTGAAAGAAGCTGAACTTGCTGCAGCTGCGGTAGGGGGTTGTTCCTGTACATGACAGAGTCCCGTGTTGATGAGATGCAGGTCCTTGTGCAGCAGCTGTTCGACACAGCAGCAGAGCTGATTCAAGGCATTGTGGCAATGCCGAAAGCATGGCATGGCACCTGCCCGACGGGGCTCGGACCTGTTGTGAGGACCGAACCTGGAAAACCAAGCCACGCTGGTGGAGAACGGTATTTGCTCTCGACTTAGACTCGTTGCTGGGCCTCGGCTGCTGAAGCTCAACTGTACTACTGTAAATGACGTCTTGCGCCTGCCCGCCACCACAACTCTATGACTGTGTTCTGCCGGGATCAGAGGGCCTGTAGGCGAGTCAGTTCCGACCCTCGCGTCAACACAGCCGTGCGCGTCATGTCTTTGGAACTCGCGGCCCGAAGCGGAAGGGCCCAGTGGCCCCGTAACAAGGGAAAAGAGATGAAGGGACTGAGAACCGGAGATCTGTGGCTGCGAGAGCTCGACGGCGCAAACTGCGCAGGCATCATCCGGACAAGCAGTATCCATCTTGTTTCGTACGCCGGTTCTCTCTTTGAATTCAGATGTGGTGTCGTGTCAGTGTCTGCTGTGTGTCTTAATGGGTCTGAGATGGTCTGAGAAGCAGTTGAAAAACAGGCACGGAGGTTCACAGCTACAGCCGGTGCTGAAATACCCAGGTGCTGACATCAATCTGCTCTGGCGCATTCTCAGAGCGGATGAAGGCACGTTCCGGGGCCTGATCCAGGACCCATGCAACCACCTAAATCCAAGCTGAGTGGCATGCACTGCCTGTTACAATACGTGCTCACTGACGCCTCTCGCAGCGATTCCACATCGCAGGACAACGAAGAGCTGTTCGATGCATGGATGGATCTGCTAATGCCTTGGCCAGATGTGATGCACTTGTCGTGCATGGGCTGAGTCGGTCAGAGGGCGAGATCATGCGCAGGCTGAGAGTCATGCGGGCAGCGGAGATCGCTGCATTGAAGTTTGCCATGTCGCTACTGGAGGACCGCAATCACAGGCTGCAGCAAAACCATGCAACTGGCGAGCTTCATCGACATCGACCTAGGCTTCACATGCAGATACCTTTGCCTCCAGCTCCGGCTACGGAGGAGATCCAGCTCTCCGAGGATGACAACGACTTTGCGGAGCAGCAAGAACAGGTACTTGTAGCTAGCAGTCGTGCCAATGCCTTCAGCAAGCTCAGTGCCCTGCTCTCTTAGGTTGTGCAACACAAGACGGAGACCCTAGCAAGGATGATTCAGGAGCTGCTGGTGTCATGATGGCTTGGGTCTACAGCTCTTTCTTGCTGCTATGTCCACGTTTCTCCGCGACAGAAGGCTTCTCGCAGGCGACAGTGCAATGCCACGAACCATTGTAATCGTAAGTCTACACTGGAGCGCATGATCAGCGCATGTCAGTGCCATGTCGAACACGCCCTCGCATTGGGAGAATGCAGCAAGTCCTGCTCTTCCGCCATGGCTCCTTATCAACTTCGTCCATCGGGTGGAGGCGGACATGGGGAGTCGTCAAGCAGTCTCGGGCAGGGGACCAGATTCGCATGAAACCAATTCACGGGTGGTTGGTGGTTGCAGTATGTTGCAGTGCAGCGCAGCTGAGAAGAACAGGTTATGGCTTTGGCGCACCATTGCGCAATCTGCCAGCTCTCCTGGGTCGGCCCAGCTGAGTCCTGGCAAACACACGAGACTGGAAAGACACACCGCAAGCGACACTGAGACTTGCACTTAGTAACCGTCGTGCCCAGATTCAAGGATCCTCAAGGGGTTTCGACGGTGCCTCAGGACTTCTAAATCCACGAGCCCCTCGAAGTGACGACACTCAGGCGGGAGCTTAGTTTTGCGAAATGCGGAGACCTATGCCACTTTCATGCATGTCAGGCATGTGGGCCGCAATGGTCGCGACTGTCCCCGCCAACAGGATCCAGAAATCCGACGCAGTCTTCCGCGCGACTCCCATGTGCAGTGCGAGAACGTGCTGCAAACTCATGTCTTTTACCTGCCGTCACTCTCACTCTCCTCTGAGCAGAGGCCATTCAATTCTGGCCCTGGCCGGGTGACGACTCAACCTTCAACAAGCTCGCTGAGAGGTTCGTCACTCATCTCTGCCAGAGGACGGGAGGGCCACGCTGTTGGGAGCTTTCTGTTTACTCCGGCTTGGCAACGCGCTGGCAGGTCGACAAGGCAGGTTGATGAGGCCGCTGATGCGGTGACTGAGACGACTTCTGAGATTCCCCTTGCGGTGCTCCGGGCACAGAAGGCACTTTGCACAGTGCCAGCTGGGCTCAGCTTGTGCTTCTGCAAGTCGTGTCCCCAGCAGCGAGGCACGAGAAGTCCAAGACCAGATGCGCCGATGCCAACAAGAGCCTGACGACTTTGAAGACATCGAAGCTTTGTGGGGGTCCGCAGCACTGCATTTCATCAGGGACGAGAGCGGAATTCTGTGCAGGCATCGGCACACAATGTGTGCAGGATCGCTGTTGCCTGTTGCATGGAAGCTTGCGAACAAATCAAAGCGCATAGAGACATAGAGACCAGAAGAGCATATGAGATCGCCAATGGTTCGACAATCAGCAGAAATTATTCAAGCTGCTTTCGAGGTATGCCAAAGAGAAGTTCGCCCTGCGTTCGGCCATGGCATTCAATGCCATCACAAAGTTTGCCCCGCCTACACTGAGAGCAAAGCTGGTCAGGGCCATAGCGACCATCCCACGTGGACAGACGTGGACAAGCTTGAAGAGTCTGTAACTCTGGGTAGAAAGAACGGCTGTCGCCAGTGCCGCCGACCCCATCTTTTCCTGATGTAAGACATGGGTGCTTAAAGGGGAGCTGCTTTCGCGCAGTGCCTCGTTATTGAATGTTAGTGCTGCTGTATTATGTTGCACTTCATGGAGATGGTATCATGACACAGGTGCACACATGCATACGGCAGGGGCGAGTTTGGTGAGGGTCCAGCGTAGGCGAAGGGCCGCAGTTGGCAAGCGGCAGGGGGGGCGAGGAGCAAGGCTTCAGGAGGCAGGGTAGACAAACCGAAACCGGAATCGAAGCTGCGGCGATGATGAAGTGGCGGAGTGGACCGTACGTGTTTGCCGCACCACAGTTACACGGCATCCTCTACGTGGAGACTTCGCAGAAGTCGATGCTCGTGTCATCTCGTATACATCATAACATATCTAGTAAGCTTTCTTTGCTGGACGATTGGATCGCATTTGTTTGAGGTCAGAAGAAGGGTAAAGTGAAAACACTGCCCTTGGAATGAAATTGATGGTGCGTTGATGATGCACGTCACCAGTGCACAAAGATTCGATTTGCGGAACGTCTCAATATATTGAGTCCGGCCTGGATGTTAACTCTGCTCTACGCGAGCGTAGCTGGAACTGCCATGCAGAAGCGCTGTCAATCGTGCCGTGACTTTCTTCTTTCGTGCTGGCTGCGCAGAGCCTGCGTGGACAGCATCTGTAGCTGTGGTCATATGTTCTTGAACCACCTAAGCCCTAAGCGAATCCCGGGAATCCACCAAGAGCCCCCGGCGGGTAAGAGCCACTTTGATGCGGCATGCAGAAGTCCCTTCATACTCGCGAGAGAGCCGTCGATCGTAAAGTGCATGCCGCTTCACAAAGCAAGATGCATCCATCTTGGAAAGACGTGCTTTGCACCACGCATTTTAACATGTTGCCAGAAGTGCGCTTGGATATGTGAGCATGTTCTCTCCCAGCCAATTCACTGATGAGTTTTTCCCGGACCGCAGAACGACATGCTCGTCTCTGAGCGGAACCTGGCTGCTCAGCCAATCTGCTTCGCAGCCGATGCCCGCTCTTCCTCGACTAATCTGTCACTCCTTCCAGGATTCCAAGCTACGCATCTTGCTCCCGGCTTGCTGCCTGTTTAATGACTTCCGAGCGGCCCCCAACGCTCATTGATCTTCTTTCACAGCTCTTTCGTTGTCAGACTGCTGGACAGCTACTTGTTGCGTCTGCTGGATCAGTTTGCTGGTCAATCAGTATAACTTCTTGACAGCCTGCATCTCCTGGCGTGTTCGTGGAATTTTGCGATGTCCTGGCTTTCGCCTTTCGCTTCGTGTGTCTGCAGACTATTAGACTGAGCGAAGACGTACACTGTGGAAGCTGCACCTACGGGCTGGAAACAGGGCACCAAGTGTGCGCTGGCACGGATATTGTCGACCTTGTGCAGCCCGCGTGACAGTTCGGCAACGTAATCTCCATCTGATCTTCGGCTGTCGGAAGTTTGTTTAACGGCCTTTTGCAAATGTCACCGTCTGCATCGCTGCGCACGCCTGCGGTACAGTGGTCCAACGCCCTAAGATGCTGTGCGTTGGCACAAAGCCTTCGTGAAGGCGACGACACACATTCATGGGAGCTCTTGCCCAATGCTGTGGAGCGTCTTCTTTCGAATGATTTCGAGTGCGTTTGACGTTGCTGGCGGTAGTACTCTGCCGCGTCGCATCGTTTTGTAAGGCGAGTCGGGCAGCTGACCCAATTTCGGAAAACCATGATTTGTTACCGGAAAGTGTTACTTTCTGCGGGTTTTGGACGGGCGAAGAAATTCCTTGTGTTATGCATGTCATGCACAGTCACAGCACAAGTTGTAACCGCTTGAGGGTAATGACACAATAATGCAGCGATTTTATGTGCAGATCTATCGCATCGTTCTCACACACTCGCCGTGTTGTGCGCCTGCCGACTGCATGGACACCCTTTTGGGGGTTTGGGCAAAGACTTGGCCCTTAGGAGCAGCAGGCAGTGTTGTTTTGTGACTCCCAGGCTGGGCCTCTGCGTGTAGCCGCGTTTGGCGGGGGACCTGCCGCAGAAGTTTTTGCCGCCGTGGTGTCTCGGCTCGAAGTTGACGCTTGTCTTTGCGGGGGTGGCCGGGTCTAGTAGCACCGGCACTACAAGCTGTCGAAAGTTCATGCCATCGATGGATAGAAACTGCCTGCTAGGTTGCGAGAGATCTAGCAGATGGCACCAGCGCCAAACTTGCGGTTTACGACTCTCGGACGGATCTTGATGGGGATGAAGGCATTCGGTGCCTGCCTGCCAGATGGGATTGAAACTCGACAGTAGCTTCTGCGCTCCACATCTCCTGAAGCGGTGAAATGGGATGGAAGGTCTGAGTCGCTCAGACATGTGTGACGAGATGTAGTCTCCGCTCGCATGACTGTCCTCTCCGGTTTCCGTGCCCGAGGAATGGGTAGAGACGTGGCGCCCAATTGTGGAAGTCGTTTCCAAGCTCATCGGCGAAGACATTGAGTATCATCATTGCCTGCCCGCTGCACCTTTTAACCTTGGCAATTTCGGGAACATACCAAGACGTCTTCAACTCGAAGGAGAGTCCTCGCCCTCTAGGCGATGTCTCCAAGTCCTTATTCGACGACGAGAATAGACACCTGCAGCCCGCCGACCTGCAGCCGCTCGTCCTTCTTGCGGGGATACTTAAGTGCTCTTTGTACTGCGGTTTGCCATGTGGTGGGGGCATGCGGGCTTCTGATATGATTTTGACCCAAGGTACGACTTGTTGATCTTCTCGCATGTTGCAGCCTTACGTATTACAGATTTTCTGTGCCCTGGAACTCCGGCAGAACAGGTTCTCTTGGAGTGTGGGCGAGGAGACGGAGAAGCGCCGCTGCAGTTCTTGCGAGATCTCTGGGAATGCTGTGATGGCACTGTCGCTTAGCAGCATCAAGCGCAGCGAGCTCGGAGCCCATAAGACACCTTTGTGAAGACTTTTTCAGACAAGTTGCACTAACTCTGCAGATCAGAACAATCCTTTGGGCCAGGCTTCGCTAGTCTGCCAGAATGTGGATTCCTGCTCCCTGGCGGATGTGAGCCTTTCGAGCCACTTTCCTGGCTAGGTTTTGGTGCTGGATGCCGGGCAAGCGCGGGGCCGCGGCTGTCGCTCACGTCCCCTGGTGGCCCGGCTTTCTCATCAGCCTCGCAAAAAAACACCTGCATGACGATGTCCAACACTGAGATCTTTGCTCTGCAGGCGGGATCACTGCGACAAGTCCAGATTCTCGCGAGCAGCTCTTCTATGCAGTTCTTGCGTAGCCTACGACATCCACACTGTCAAGGACGAATGGTTGCTGTCAATGGTGAGTCATTCACACTCCTTCCAAGATCTGTCGTAAGAGACCAAACCGAACAGAGCAGCCCCGCCCAAGAGACGTCGAGCGTGAGTTATGGATACGCATGCGTGCGTGCGTACGTGCGCGCGTGCGTGTGTGGGTGTGGGTGTGGGTGTGGGTGTGGGTGTGGGTGTGTGTGTGTGTGAGTGAGTGAGTGAGTGAGTGAGTGAGTGAGTGAGTGAGTGAGTGAGTGATGCGACTCCCCCAAACCAAGGCGACATTGACGCAGAACTCATTCGCATCAACGGTGCCAGTAGAACAGCAGCTTGGCGCAACTACTGGCTTGCAGCTGTCAGCAGACGCCCATACGGTCGCAAGATGTTATAGCAAAAGTTACTTCTTTGATGATAAGTAACTAAAGCTTGAGGGAGGCATGTGTCACAACCAGAGCTGCTGTGGAATAGAGCTTGAAGAAAAGTGGTAACAGTGCCTGACTGTTGCTGCTGTCTGAGGATGGAGTTTTTCTTTGTCGAGGCAAACCAACACAGAGCGTTGCTGAAAAAAGCTCGCGTGCTGCCCATCTTCTGCACACTGCTGCGGGGGGTGTCGATTGGCTTGCCTGCCTTGACCTGCCTTGACTTTGCATACAGCTTTTCTAGCTCAGTCTACCTTCTGACCTTCTGCATGTTGAGGAGCTCGCCCCAAGAGTTCTTTGCTGGAAAGTCATCACGCACTGGAACCTAAGCTCAGAGGCAGCACGAGTTTCTGTCAGAGCCTTCGCATCTGGCGTCTGGTGAGGCAGCAGATCCGCAGTTTGAAGTGGGTGTGACCGAAGAGGACGATGAGGCGCCAGGTGCCTTTTTGCTAATCGGCACGCCACGCTAGACTTGGTTGGAGGCTGAGGCGGACGACCAAGAGACCGACGAAAAGATCATTCGTCCAAAGCGGGAGAAGGCAAGGCATTAACAACTCCAGCCAAAGCTCCTGATTCACTCAGCCTTTGTCAACTAGGCCTGCCTGACCTACACGCTTGATGAGCAGTACGAGGAGCCCGAGATTGTGGCCTTTTGGAAGCATTCTTCAGAGACCATGCCATGCCAGGACTGCTTGAAAATATGTGGCCTGTGCTATTCTCTGTTCCATGCCGACGCCTGAGCAATACAGCAGCATACGGGTTTCTGCTGCATCCAGCTGTCCTTGCTGCTTTTGTGTTGCCCTACCTCGACAGCTCTCGATGCCTATAGTCAACCGACGGCTTTGTGCGACATTCATGCTTCACTCACGCGGTCGGAGTTCTGCACGTCCCGGGAGGCAGTGTTCTCAGCACCTGAGTGACGGGCTCAAACATCCAGTCTGCAAGTCTCTTGTAAAGCTTCCGCCGAATTTCATCAAGACCACAGCTCCTCAGGACTAGGACACAGTTGTTCAAGGACGTGAAGATAGAGCAGCCAGCCGACATGCCAGCCAGAATCTTGGAGTCCCAGGGCCAGTAGGGCTCTCGGAAGGCATTCAGTCATCCCCAGGTCTACACCAAACCGGAGTGGGCCACGGCTAAAACCAAGATCTTTGATAGGCCGAATCCGGCAAAAAGCGTTTGTGCAGGCCTCCTATTGAGCAATTGCCATGCAGGTTCCTGGAGAAGGTCCAGAAGATGCTCGGAGAGAAATACCTGCACTTCCTTTTCGGGCAGGCCTTTCGCTGAAATTGGGATCGGCCTAGGGCTCTTTAGTTGCTGGTTGTCAAGACGACTGCGCCTTCTCAGGTGGAAATCGTGCGCGGGTCTCGACTTCAGCGTGTCTACTTCCTGGTGCCGAAGGCTGATCTGCATATTGCGGCTTGCTCGATTTCCCAACCTTTGCATGACAGGCGATCCGAGTTTTGAAAAACCACTCCCTGGTGCACAAGTGGAAGCTGCCTTAGGAGAGCAGAAGCCAATGGTTCCAGTATGTTCCGGTGACCCAGGCAAGAGGAATGCCTTGTGAACGTGAAGCGCACATCACCTGAGGCTTAGTAATCCCTACAACAAGGTATGGCTGCTTGTGCTGCTTCGTGTGTTCATCCTGTTAGGCACAGATCGACGACTTTGCTGATTTAGTGAACGGAGAGTGCGCAAATGGGATCCAAGAAGTGATGTTTCCGTGTCATGCAGGCATCTTCAGAAGTGGCGTTTCAGTCGACAGGTACATCTCCTTCGTTCAGAAGCAGTTCGACCTCTTGGGAAAGTGCGTGTCTGAGGTACTGCACGTGCCCTTAGAATTCTGTGCTTCCCATTGACATGGTAGACATGGGCTTAATGGTTTTTTGACAAGGCCATGGCCTTTCAACAGAGCGGGAGAAGTCATCGCGCCACCTGGCTCGACAGTTGTAGACCGATGCCCGAAGTTCCAATGTCAACAAGCTGAGGCTTTGCATCAATTCCACGATGCTCACAACTGCCATCATCAACAGCATCCTGGTCTTCGTGTACACAAGCCTCCAGCTCACGGCTGTGCGAGTGGCATGCAGCAGCTGCCTGGCCTGACGCCAAGGCTCATATTCTGAACATTCTATTCTGGAACAAGACATCCACTATCCGCGCCGTGGCAGGAATTCGTGGATCAGCCAGCAGAGCGCATGCTTCAGTCCTCATAAGTTCGCAAAAACCGGCAGAGGTGTCGGTCGTCTCTTCAACACAATGATTGGTTGCTGGCGTGCCGTTCAGTCTAGCGTGCATATCGATGAATTTCCGATGTCACCATTGTGGCTATCGTCTTTGCTGAATCCTGAAGTTGCCAATGGTGGTGTTCGGCTCCAGCCAACACATTTGTGCTGTGTGTGTGTGTGTTTCCTTTGCATTCCCGCGGTTGCAGATGGGATGGACTGAAGGAGAAACGGATAAGCATACAGGTGTACATGTGCAATGTATACATTATTAAGTGCTACAGCAGATACATGTTCTGTCTTCGTGCAATCTGCCCTGTTCATGTGAACACACATCCATGCAGACAGAGAGACAAACGCCTAGGAACATTTTTAAGACAGGATGTGGAACGCTTCGGCTCTGAACCACTGGCACCTCACCAGGACGTCGCACGGTCCGTGTCACGCCAGGGCTGTGCATCATTGGGGGAAGGTGGAGCTTGTCTTCGGCCATGTGGACTTCACACGTTGACCACATCCATACACAACCCTGCCTGTACAGAACCTGTGCGTGTACAGGACCAGTACCACCGATGAAAATCAGCATCCTTAACAAACCAGCAGCCGAAGGAAATGTTTACCCTGCGCGCACAAAGCCGATACCTGTGCAAAAACCGTGCCTACCCATACAACACCCACCAGTGCAAAACCGGCATACAAACAGTACCCGCAACGAAAACGCTACCCGAAAAGCCGTGCCCCGTACAAACCCTGTACCCATACAAAGCCTGCATGCCCCTGCACAACCAGCACCTGCACACCCCTGCAACCTTATGTGATCACAATTTGTTCCGTCCGCAACCAAACGTCAAACCCCTGTACTGAGCTGAATGTGCAGAGCCAGCACGCGGAGTACACCCGAACAGTCACCAGACTCATAAACATGTGCCCGCACACAACCCACGCCCTGAGGCAACCCGAGCCATCCGCACACGAACACCAACAGTGCTTGCCACAAGCCATGCCTGCACACCACCCACACCAATAGAGAGCCGTACGATTTACCGGCGGCAGCAAGGAATTCCGTGTACACACATCACACCCATCGACAGTACATCAATGACATGTTCATACAGTTTCCGTGTCAGAAGTTTAAGCTCTACCAGTTGTCCAAGCTTCGGTGAATCCTCGATGTAGAGTGTTGTGATGCCGCAGCGCATGGGTCCCCTTCCGCTGTAACCGCCCATTTCATGATTTGGGTGATTTATACTGATACCTGTGTTCCGGGTATCCACGACATCCGCGCCCGTCGTTCTAGACATGCAGGCCCTGAGTGTCGCTAGGCCGGAGTCCGCTAAGGAACCAACTGTCGGTGTACATCCTGACGTTCTTTGCTGGAATCCACTTCAGTCTCTCACTGCACGAGACCAAGCCAGAAGCGCCGTTTAGTGATGTCGGAGTAAAAACTGAGCTCATAAAAAAGCCGGCTGCCAAAAGGCTCTGGCTTGGATTCTACGTGCTTTCCTACAGCGGCTGGATCATCGAGACCAAGGCCGGAAAGGAGTGGCCTTGCAATCGTCATCCTATGCCCAAAGCCCTGAAACAGAGCAGACGGATGAGTTCAGTCTCTGAGCTCCAGGTAGACAAGTGGCGCGAAGAGAATCCACAACTGCAGAGCCAGCTGTCACTCACTTAGTCTATGCCAGTCTATGCGTCACTCCGTGCCTACGCGGGGGTGGTCTTGAAGTCCGTAGACTCCATAGACCAAGCACACCGACTCTCCGAGGAACAATTTGCTCTACAGGCTCAGCTTGCAGGCTCCGTCAAAGGAAACGCGTTGATTCACTGATTCCAGCACTCTTTGCAGCTCCTGAAATCATGGCATGGGGGCAAGTAGGCGTCGAGCTCTTCCAGTCCCGACGATCAGCTAATAGTTCTTGCGAGATTGCAGTTGTTAGGGGTACCTCCTGGCTGCATGTTTCGCATGCTTATGGGTAGGCA